TTCGAATCTCATTACGGATCCTTCAGGGAAAATGCGCAATGATTTTCGAATCCAGCTAATTCCATATCGCTCTTTCTACAAATTCTAAAAGTGTACGAACGCTTTTGGGAAACCTCTGTAGCTTGTTATCCATGTTATCTGCACTTCCATCAGTACTCAGAGAAATCAAGTTTTCTACACTGACAACAGTAATTCCTGCAAGCGTTTTCTCAATTGCAGCAATTTTTGGCACCCGCAGCTGAATGTTTCTGCTGTGGCAGAATCTGGCAAACCATTGAATGTGTATTTCGAATGTCCCAAAACTTAAATCGGAAGATTATGTTCAACTAAAAATCGAGCAAAATAGTATTAAACTTTTATGGCATCCATTTCAGCATCTTTTATGAAGAAATTCGATATTTCTTTAGATTTTACAGCAGCGCTTTCTTTCTGCTTTTGAGAAAACATATGCCATACTTTTGTCCTTTCCGCTATTCGCAAGTGAGAAGTCTTTGCTGCACACAATGCAGTGTGCATGATTCATGGACATTTGGGATGCTTTGATGCATGGAAGTTCTATAGAATGTGAATCTTTGGATTTCTAGCTTCTTATCTTGAGGCGAAATAATTCACAAAAAAGCTTCCAGCTAAACCATAATTGACAAGTGCTACACACTCGCCGTAGTCTGCAAGAATGAAGCCGGAGCTAAGTCCTTCAAAGCAGTTGATTAAATTACAAATACAGACGAGAAGCTTGGGCCATGGAGTGGTGACATGCATGATATTTTTGAGGTGTGGAACATTTTACAACTGAAATATAGCCGTATACTGGACTATTCTTCTCTGTATTCTGTTAAGCAGAATGAGGTCATTATGTTAAAAAAAAATGGAAAGTGTTTCAAGCTACTATGGAAAAAATCTGTTTATGTAAAAATAGGTAAATATATTTTATTTGTTACTTTGGAATAAAGTCGCAGTTTTTTTTCTCTCTGTCCAGAACACATATGGTAAGTGGATTCTAAGTGAAGAACTCACAATGTTCAGATATGTATGTGACAGGAACATCACTAAACTATATCATAATCAGTCATTATTTTTCCCATAAAACAAATAATGTAATTTTAAAACTCTTTCGTTTTTCACTTTTCTTTGTGAAGGGAAAATCTTCCGATTTCTTTCTTAACTAATGAAAATATAAGTTTAGGTTTTTCATAAAAGGGTATTCGTAAACAAGGAGACAGTTAAATAATATTTTGAGTATTTTACATTACGTACTTTTCTTAAAAAAGGAACTTGATTTCTTCCGCAAATTGAAAAACTTATGCTCTCGCCAAAATTAAACATATTGATCTTAAATTAAAAAAATTAAGCATTAAATTAAACATAATACCTGCTACATGTTGGAAAATGACTGAAAATAATTTATGCAAAAAAATTATTTAACATGAAAATGAAAGGAATAAATATTTAACTGAAAATATTGAATTAAGAAGACATTTGTGAAAATTTAAAGATTTCTGAAAAATCGGCTTCCTTGTTTTGAAACAAATTTTTCTTTAATATAATGTAGGGTCAGATATGACAAAAAGGCAGTCCACATATCTTGATTGTATAGACTTTATTAAATTTTTAGAAGCTTATGAAATTATGCGCTGCTTTTCTGAATGTGCACTTTTTCAGACCCTGGATGACACTATAAGCATTTGGAGCACAGAATTTCGAAGGCCTAAGCCATCTCCTACATACCGAATTGAAGTAAAATAATTGAAGTTTGTGAAAGTTTAAAAATTTCTAAAAAATCATTTATATTTTACGACAATTTTTTCTTTTTCATGCTGTAAGGTCAGATACGACAAAAGTGCAATCCGCATATCTTTATTTTATAGACCTTATCAAATTCTTTAACAATTTACGAACTGCTTTCTGGAAGTACATTTTTCAGTAACAGAATATCGAAGGCCTAGTGCATCTCTTATTATGCTGAACTGGGGGAAATTCTAATAAGTAGGCCAGTCCATTTCAGAAATGTCTTATATTTTAAAAAATTCTGATACCATAGGTATCCAAACATTGTCATCTATGATCAAAATCTTTGGATCAACAGGACCCTTGTTTAGCCTCATATGGGGTTTAAAATCTCATTCACGTACGGCAAGTTATTGGATCTTTATAAAAGAATATGCAGCTGAAGCCATTTTCGATTTTTTATCCCTAAAGAATGACATCGCTTCCGAATCTGTCATTAACAAAGAAGGCAAATGAAATGGTCGTCACTGTCAACAGATCAAGACGCATCTAAATTCACAATTCAGGTTATATCTGGCCGAGATCAAAATTACCGTTTTTCCTCGCATTAAATCCAACTTCGTTAACCAGGATGGAGGAGAACTGCTTATCTCAGCTTATGAGTTCTTGTGGCAGCCTAAATATCTAAAACGAACTCGGTTGTAATGGTGTCCTAGTTTCTTGAAGCCGACTATGGAGGGGAAAAAGTTCTTTATTGATTCCAATAATTGAAACCAATCTCTCCTAGTCTGTCTGCTAACCAATTCGCATTTCAAAAGGAGGTTCTAAGTTCCTGATATCATACTGTAGGATAATGGAGGCTTCAATTTGTGTCTGCGACCCTTCGCATCTAACATTTTGACGACCATTTTTGTTCCGTATATAAATAGTGCGTTTTGAGTTGTAACTAATGTACACTGCTCGACATTAAAAATGGAACACCAAGGAGTGGTCAGAAATTTATGCAAATTTTAGAGTACACCCACGTCACTGACTTATGCGAATCATGTGAAATGTGCAACTCTCCGACACACGTGAAGTAGATATAAGAGAAGAAACGTGCAGAATGGGCAATATTCGTGTCGTTATTTCTGCCGGACGAATTATCGAAGAAAGTTGGTTTTTCTCCCGGAGGATACGTGTAATATGAAAGAATGCCAGGCCGCCTTCAACGAAAGCACTTCCAGCAGATAGACGATTTTACGAGGATTATGGTAATCGGACTGAGAAGGGCGGGTTGGTCCTTACGTCAAAATCGCAGCTGATACCCACATGGGTGCGAGCACGGTGCATCGGCTATGGCGAACATGGTTGGAACAAAGAAATGTGGAAAGAAAGAGGGGTGCAGGTGCAGCCAGAGTGACGTCAGCACGCGTGGATCGACGCATCCGCCGATAAGCTGTGGCGGTCCCGCAAGTCACTTGTACCGCGATTCTGCAGATGTTCTGGATGTTCCCGTGTCGAACAGAACCATTTCCCGTCGATTGGTTGAACGTGGCCTGCACTCACGGCCGTTCGTTAAGAAGACTGTCATTGACCCCACAGCATAGACGAGAACATTTAGAATGGTGTCGGACTGGAGCGATGTGAATGACAGAATGGCGAAACGCCGTGTTCTCAGATAAGTCACTCCTGTTTATCCAGCGACAGTCGCCGCATACGTGTGTGGCGTCGGCGTGGAGACAGATCTAATCCGGCAGTAACCATGGAACGCCCCACCCCGCGACAACGTGGCATAATGGTTTGAGGCGCTATTGCCTAGGATTCCAGGTCACCTCTAGTTCGCATTCAGGGCACTATGACGGACCAACGATACTTGGATAATGTACTGTGGCCGGTAGCAATCCCCTAAATTCAGGGGCTGCCTAATACAATTTTTCAGCAATATAACGCCCGACAACACAGTGCTCGTATCTGCCAACATGCTCTGCAAGGTATACAGATGCTTCCCTGGTCACCGTACTCTCCTGACCTGTCTTCAATCGAACATGTGTGGGATGTGATTGGACGCCGTTTTCAGACTCCCCCCTGCCTCGTTCAGAAGACGAACTGTGGCAAATGGTTGAAAGGAATGGAGAGCCATCCCTCAGGACACCACCCGCAACTCTTATTGACTCTATGCCTAGATGTGTTTCTTCGTGCATCGCTGTCCGTGGTGCTCTTACATCCCACTGAGCCGACGCCGTTCTCGTTCTGCACTCTGGTTATCATTTTGAAATAAAGATCACTTATTGCTGCTTGCTGTCTCTGTCTTTTTCCAAATTTCATCACTTTCTGACCACTCCTTCTTGGTGTTGCATTTTCAATGTCGAGCAGTGTATAATGTTCCGGCTCAGAAGTCTCAAACACTACAGACCTGTATTCCAGCATGCGTTCCTTCACAGTGTACGTTGTCGGCCTTCAATTTGCCTATTTCATGTGCTTATCATAATAAAGAAGAGTAATTTTGAGTTCAAATGCAGATAATTAACAGAAATATTTAAACTAGTATACGTTGCTTGAAAATTTTAATCTTTGATCAAAAAGGGTTCCAGAAAAGAATACAGCCAGTAGCAATGTTGAAAGGTGTCTTGAGCTGTTCATCTGGAAAAAATAGGAACAAAAATGAGATCATCCTCTAATTTTCTCGAACAGAATACTAATTTAGATTTTCCAAAAATTCGAATATACGTAAGAAGAATAATTGTATATTCTTTTAATAATTTTTGTTTCGGTGCCGTTCTTGGGAAACGTAAGCGTAAAAATTAATGTGCACAATGATTCTTAACGTCCCAAGGGAATTAGTTGGCAATTTAAATTAGGAAAATAGAGTCAGATTACAGAGCCTCCTAAGTTTCTCGAAACATGAAAAAAATCAGTAAATGAAATAAAGAAAGCTTTCAACAAACGTTTAATGGTGAAACAGGAATTAAGAAGGACCACGAATAAATATTATCTGCTGTTTAGACTAGCTTTCCATGTACATAGAAATTAGCATGAGATTAAAAGTACACTAAAAAGTGGCAGTAAGTTTCTTCTTACGTCCCAAACTATGAGGCGTAAGGAAAATAATAATAATAATGGCATAACTGTGGGTACTTGATTGCAGCTATGCAATTTAAATTCCATGCAAAGCTGAAACAGATTTTAGGTGTCATAATGCTATTTATAAAAATTCTACTCTTTGAACTACAACTCCTTTACAATAATGAATCCTTTTCGGGTAATAAAAGTTATCGAAAGGTTGTGAATCTTACCTCTGCAGAGGATTGCAGAAAATAATACAGCCTGTAGCAATGTCGAAAGGTGTCTTGAGCTGTTCATCTGGAAAAAATAGGAACAAAATTAATATAAAGCATTGTTGTACTCTTCATTTTACAATATATCTTCCGCTAAGGAAAATCTTAAGAAAAGTAAATTTTTTAACTATCTGCAAAATAAATCCCTTTTCAGGCAATCCTTCCCTTGTGAATTTTATTCAAAATCGATGCAATGTAAATTCCCTTTTTTGCGTAATATAAAAAATACACTGGCATGCTTCTATTCAATTTGATAACACACCCCCTGTTCATGAATTTCTAGATATTTTTAATTGCTAAAAATTACAAAATTTTATGGAAGCAATCAGTCGTATTGCGTATTTGTCAACCGCATTCATTTTGCCCTATTTTAAACATTAAGAAAAAGATTTGAGAACAGCATTAATCATCTTCTGTAAACAGACGGCGCTGATTGTTGCACTGGATTTGTGATATCAGGATTCAGAACGTGCTATATTTGGTTATATTATCTTCCAAAGCCACCGTGAAATCCACCACAAACAGACAGGTAAAAGCATAAATGTTGAGTCGGTCAAGCAAAGTTGCTGTCGTTAGCAGAGACCACCCATACCGTGATAATATGACTGCCGTACTGAAGAAGCCGGTTCGAAACCCGGAGAAAGCATGGGTGTTTATAAGTGTATAGTGGTCACTGCCGCAAGAGGGCACTCAAAATGCAAGCCTAACCGTAGGTCGCAGTGAGAAGAACTGTCTGATTGGTTTATTAGATTACGGCAAAGCACTCGGGGGCTATCTGCCTTAAGGGAGGGATGCCTTCGTGGAGGACTTTTTAAGGGAAAGTGGCTCGTATACACGTTACACATGGCGAAAACCCCGAAAACACCCATGCAGCCAGCCCGTTCGCGGGATTTGAACCTCGGACCGAACTACCAGTGTTCAGCGACGTTACCGCTCGGCCGCTGGTGGACCAGAACTGTCTGGAATTCTGTATAGTAAAGAAGTGCTCAATAAATTAACTATCCATATTAGTAACCTGACAGGTTTCAATGCTTCCAACAGGCAGGAAGGTATCAAATTCAATGCAGAATTTAAGCTTTTACCCAAAACTAATATGAGAAGAATTAGATTCAAAAGACCTAAAATCCCAAAGGCTAAATATTTGGACAAACTCGAAATAAGAAATCGCTACAGTCCATTAGAGCAAATTTCAAATGATGTACCGGGCAGAAAAGAATCCGATATTCCGGTTTTTCTGAATCTGATTCAAATACTAATATTACATTTATTAAATAACATTTATCAGTTCTTCCAAATTTGCCAAACAACCACCAGTGGCCGTCTGGGTAAGACTACTGATTACTGCTAGTTCGACTCGCATTCGAACCCAGGCGATTATGAGAAATTAGGCATAGTTGGAATTCGCAGTTTCGTCATGAGTAACGTAAATGTGAGTCAGTTTCATTTAGAAAATAGTCCTTGGTGGAATCAATTCCCTTAGGCAGATAGTCCTTGTTTGCTTTGACATATTCTAATAATCCACAATATCTGTCAAAAAAAAATCTAAATGCATTTAACGGAGGAAAAAAATAACTCATGAAATTACAGGAAAATTTTAATTATGTTTGAATACGTAAATACGTTTGAATTCGTTTACTCGTCAAATAACAAATGAGGGAGAAACCACAAAGTAAACAAAATTTTATCTCCCTCCTTTGGTGCTGTGTAAAACAAATTAAATGTACTGGCTATTAACTTTTTTTACTTTTGTATAAAAATAATTTAACATTATTTTCTTATATATATGAAAAATACCAAAATCTTGTTGTCAAGCTTAGAAGTATAAAGCTAATCTTTAGCACAAATGGCTCTGGAATTTTTTTAGGAAACTAGATTAGCATGATGGATAACAAAAAGCACTTAATTGCTTTTATCTTTGTTTTGACACACTAGTTGATCGGTTTCGACAGAGAAGTTTTGTCTTACACTCACAAGAAAACTGTCAGAATAATCGAATTTCCATCGAATGTAACTGTCCTCTCAGCTCTTCGGCTTCATGCGATAAATTCACAAGCTTACAAGCTAAAATCCTCACCTTAAATGCATCCGAACTATAATATGCATTCTGTCGGGGAAACAGAAGGAAGAAGTGACCGTAAAGATCCAAAATATAACTAGTTAATTAATATAAAATAACTTTACACTGTATCAAAAAATATGAAATGAAAATTTGACATTGATATTATAACATTGTTTAATTTCCAAATGCTTTGTTTTTCGTTTTTAAAAACAGACATGTTTAAAAATTAATATCACATATTTTGTATTAAAAGATCTCAAAATTATTCCTTAAGAAAAAGCAGAAACATAAATCTATTTATTCGAAATAAAAACATAATTACTTTAAAATTAATAATAAATTTCTAACGTAGATTTATCCATAAATATCATTCAAAAATAAGGGACGTTCAAACGAAAGTGGCATTACTGTCGGTTAAAGAAATGGTTTAATAATATAAATATGAATTAGTATACAAAAAAAAAGACGTAATATAGACGTAACAGATAAGCTTGACAAAGTCACTTTGTAGGTTGAAACAAGTGTCTCAATGGTCAATGAGACGATGTGTAGCCTGGGTGAGGAAGCTCCGAGGTTGGTCGTGGAGCCAATTTTCAATGGCAGCTTGGACCTCCTTATCGTCGGCATATCGTCGTCCCTTCAGAGATTTCTTGAGTGTGGTAGTCACACGGCGAGATGTCCAGACTGTAAGGGGGAAGTTTGAGATCCTCCCAGTGAAATTGCCATAACAATGTTTGGCACACCACAGCCACATGAGCATTATCATGCAAGAGGATAACCCCACATGACAGCATGTGACATCGACAGATCTAGATATTCTCTCTCAGTTTCTGCAATGTGGCACAGTACGTGGCAGCAGTGACAGTCGTGCCCGTAGGTAACTATTCTAACAGTAGTGAGCCTTCGACGTCAAAGAAGAACGTTAACAAGACTTTACCAGCTCTAGTGGACGTGCGAGCCTTCTTCGGGCGTGGAAATGAAGAGTGTCACCATTCCATGTTCATGCGTTTGGTGGCTGGATCAAAGTGATGAAACTATGTTTCATCAGCGGCAATGATCCTTGAAAGGAATTGGTTCCCCATTTCGTGGTACCGCATAAGGTGTTGCATAGAAACAGATATGCGATGAATCTTCTGCTCCTCTGTCAAATGTTTTGGCACCCATTACGCACAAATCTTACGTTACCGCAACCTTTCACGCACTGTTGTGTGTACACTTCCTTATGCGTGTAGACATTTCCTCTGCTATTTCTCAAGTAGTGATTCGCCGATTTATTTTCGCGAGGCTGTCCACATCTGCAATTGCTTCCATGGTCATCCAGGTGTTCCACATGCGCTTCACCAGGTCGTGGCCTGTCGTCAGTACTGCTTCTTCCACTACCAAAATCCCTACAACATCGGAATACCGATCTGCGTTTCATACATTATTAACTCTAAGTCGGGCAACATTACCTGGCATCTTCTGGAGCGCCTTAACATGATACAGAGGCCTTCCTCAGTTGACTGTGCCGGTGGGGCGCCAACCCACAAACAGCCCGCAGGGACTTCTCATGTTCATCTCCAGAATCCATCACACTGAGGGCTGCACGAGGAGCCGTCCCCCCCCGGCACAGCGCTTAATATCTACATGAGCGTCCCCACAGCAAAGGCGACGGACACGACAGTAACAGTACGGTCCCTGCAAGCCCGCACCTACTATAGGATGGACCTATGGTTCTAGTCCTGTGAAGTCTGATTATATGCCCAACAAATCGAAGCTGGCAGGACTCAAGTCCAGCCAGTTGTCTGGGAGAACCTCGGGTCTCCTCCCATAAATGGTCGGTTCCGGAAATTCTCACCAGACGATCCCCTGGGATTGTTTGCTCAGCGTCATTAGCTTATACGAGCCAAGACCTGGACAAGGCATCGTATAGTTTTCAGCGGGGCCACGAGGAGGATGACGCTGAGCTGTGGGAGACGCACGCAGGCAAGGCTGAAGCCATTCCCACAGTCCCTGCCCATCGATCAAAGTCTCCTGCCTTCCACCACTGCCTACGACGATCTCCCGCGCAAGGTTCACGCCGCCTACAGTGGTTTCCAGCCGGTTTCGGACATCCGATCCCCGGTTCAAGGACCGGCAGTTCGGTCCTCGAATCAAACGCCAGGTCTCCTCCCGCTACGCGGTCGGTTCTGGACGTTTGTCCTCCGGAGGCCAAACGCCCTCCCTGCCATACACATTTTGCATTCGAGGATAGATTTCTGAAGCACTCACACTTTCCACTGTTAAAAACTGTTTCCGCTGTTTTGCCCAAGAATTATCACAGATATATAAAGGTAAGTGTGAGATTTTTGGTGCAGACATTCTTGATTCTATTAAGTGTTACTGATATTACCAAAAATGTAATGGCTAGCAAACTGAAAATTGTTAAATCTAATGCTTGTAAAAATGTTGATGTTTATGTTGAAAATAAATGTTATTAATCCTGTTTCAAATGTTAATGATGATTCTGGTAATATTAATGCTAAGTCAAAGCGGCCATCAAAAAAGAATAAGAGGTCAGCTACCAAAATCACTGATACCGATGGCTTTACTTAGCCGAAAAGTTAATTAAGTGTAATGTAGATATTCCCGTAAGCAATCAGTTTAATGGATTAAATGCAAATGATAATGGAAATGATAATATGGACCTAAAATTACTAAAATTGAGAACCCGAGAATTAAAACCATTATGGTAAAACCTGTTGAAAAATTTTCTGATTTTGTTAAAAAACTAAAGAGTGATACTAAAATTTACAGTTAAAATGAATGACGAGTTTCCGAAAGTGTTCCCAAAGACAGAGAATGATCATAGGTTAATTACAATGTACTTAGATGATAAATAGATAGATCATTATTTAATAATCAGCAAGGTAGAAAAACTAATTAAAGTTGTCTTTAGAGGACTACCCATAGACTGTCCTAAAGATGAGATTCATGAAGAGCTTACA